AGGTGGTGAGTGCACCGTGATCCCAATTCCACACCGTGTGAGTAGGAGGGAGAGGGGAGCTCAGCCAGTGGCACACAGCCCGTTAACTTCTACATTATGCCCTGCGTGGAGTGGGAGGGAGGAAGTTACATCATTAGCAATTGAAGTGTAGAATAGGGTTTGGGAAGAGCTAGTCCCCTGGCCTCCCCCCCCCCACTTAAATTTCAGCATTTGAAATGATCCATCACTTATTACTTGATCTCTTTTCTAACCTTTTCCCTATTACTGAGGTGGCAACCTTGGCAGCGGCATTTTTTGCTTTGTGGCAAAAATGGAAAAAAGCAGCTTTGGTAGTAGGGCCCTGGGACAGTCATAAGTGGCTGCTACAGTGAACCGAGAGGAGTGTGTCCTGGAGTGAGTGTGTTGAGTCCAGTGGAGGCTGAAGTGGCTTGTGTTTATCTCCTCTCTTCCTTGTCAGAAGGCTGCTTGACACCAGAATTTAACTAGTAGATGACATCCTTCACATGAGGAAAGTGGGCACAAGATCAGCATGGTTAATTAGGTTCCAGGACGGAAACGTGTCTCTGCCTTTGCTGTGAGCTGAGGTGTATTTGGTCCTTTTTCATCCTGCTGGCTGCAACATGGTGGAGAGTAGACAGAGGCCAAGTATAACTGTGTCTGAATAAGCCTTAGAAAAGATAGGGATTGGGGGGGGGGGGCTGGGGACGGGAAGTGTTGGGACAGGGGCAGCTAGGTATTGAAGTGGATAGAGTGCCTGGCCTGGAGAGGAAGACTCATCTTCCCGAGTTCACATCTGGTCTCAGACACTTACTAGCTGTATGACTCTGAGCATGTCACCTCACCCTGTTTGCCTCAGTTTCTCATCTGTAAAATGAGCTGGAGAAGGAAATTGGCAAACCACTCCAGTATCTTTGCCAAGAAAACCCCACACGGGATCACTGAGAGTCAGATATGACTGAAAAAAATGACAACATGAGTTGGGAGGTCGGAAATGGACCTGAGATTGCATTGTCTAGGGAACTTCACTGTGGATTTGCAGCAGTTAGAGAATTGCTCCAAGGATTAAATGGGGATGGAGGGAGCTCACTTGGTAACTGGAAGAGGTGGGCCTCAGGCCAGGACCTCGGGGCTTTCGAGACTTTCACTGTGCTGCTCTGCTTTTCCTTTTTGGTGCTGAACAGATAGCAGAAATGAAGGGGATGAGGTTTTTTTTAGAAGAGCAGCGTGAAGTAGTGGCAAGTCTGAATATTTTCTTCATCCAATAGCTAGGTGACCAAGGCACATTCTTTCACCTTTTAGAGTCTAAGGTTCCTCATATGTAAATGGGGCTAATTACACCTGTAGTATTGACCTAGCATGTTGGTTGTAAAAAAGCCAGTGAAGTAAAAAAGCCAAGGAAATTATTTTAAGATCTTTCAAGTGCTGTATAAATGTGAGCTGTTTTTATTATTCTGCTCTAGTACATCCTGGGCTTTATCACCACAGGATCAAAGCTTGAGAGCCTAGTGGGGTTTTATCTGCTTAACAGAGCAAAGCTAAAACAATGATTAGAATTGCTCTTCAGTAACTTTGTTTTACAGCTAATATTGACAAACAGCATAGAGGGAGAATGTATTTAGTTTTCCTCCAACTGAGATATTAACATAGTACTCAAGGTTAAAAAGACCAGTACCCTGGAAATGAAAATTGTCTGGGTGCCCTGCTTCCATGTAGCTAAGAACCATCAGAACCCAAAGAGCCTTTGCTCAGCATTCATAAGCCTGCTTGCCCTCAAGTGTTTTCTTTTTCCTTATCCTTGAATACCAGAGCCATACAGAATCCTGTTTCTTTCTGGGTTATAGCTGCTAGCCTGTGGGTGTGATGATAGCATCTGAATAAGTAAGACAGAATTTTTCTGAATCCCTCATGACTTTGGTTTAGTCTTTTCTCTCTTCTGTTAGGGCTTTCTCTCTGTTCTCACTTGACTGTCTGTCATAGAGATGTCTTTCATGTAGTAGTGAAAACAATTGGAAAAACATTTCTTTCTGTAAAGGTACTGACAAACAATTGAATCTTCACTTTTTCATATTGATATATTTTATAGTACATTTTACAAAATCTTCTGGTTACCTTACAGGAAAATATTGTTTGATTAATTTGACGCATCTGTTTACCAGAAAAATGAAGAGCCGTTAGAAGGCATGGAATTCTCTGAGTGTGTCTCTGGAGTGAGTGATTGTGATAGTTTAATTAAGTTTTCTCCACTCTCGTCATCATTATTACAGTAATTGACTCTGTATTGAGCTTGACTCTTTTTCAAGCTTTCCATATGAGAGGTATTTAAGACCTTCTACCGTTTGGCCCTTTTAAGTCTTATTTCTTTTATTATCTCATTCAGATAACCTATTCTCTCTAAACAGAACCACCATTGTTTCTCAAGCCAGCCCTGAGACTGGCCTCTTTCATACATTTTTGGGTTTGCAGTGTTCCTTTTTTCCTCGAATGCCTTTTTTCTTCCTCCTTTTTCCCTCTTCCCCTACCTCCCTTTCTTCTATTTTCCTAGCTTTTTCAGAGTCTCCTAAGCTTAGTCAAGAAGCCATGTCCATATTTAATCTTTCCTGGCCCTCTAGCCAAAACCAGTCTTTACTCTTTGGGATTCCAACTGCGCTTTATTCTGTTTCTTATGACCTTTTTTTTTTTTTGGTTGGTGAGGCAGTTGGAGTTAAGTGACTTGCCTAGGGTCACACAGCTAGTAAGTGTTAAGTGGTCTGAGACCAGATTTGAACTCAGGTCCCCCTGAATCCAGGGCCAGGGCTCTATCCACTGCGCCACCTAGCTTCCCCTTGTTTCTTATGACTTTTAACACATTTTGCTTGTAGTTAATTTGTGCATTTGTTTTATTTTCCATCTCTTATTTAAACACATGGCACGCCACCCCTAATATAGGACTTTGTACATGGTAGGGACTCATTTTTTTTTAATGTTGAATTAATGGAATTTTATGCTTTCCAGGAAGCCCATCTTAAATGAGGTAGATGCTGTTGCAGAACTTGAGAGAAAAGTGCTATGCGAAAGTCGAAAGTCGTTTCCATAATCCCTCACCTACTATTTTCTCCTTTAAGTTCCTTGTCATTGAGGACTTGTTTGCGTATGTGGTTTTGAAGTCTTGTGCTGAAAGGGCTCTTAAAAGCTTTGTAAATGGGATTTCTGTCTCTCTATTTTATGTTGAACTCATCTATTAATGTAAGTTCATAGTACCTGTGGCATCCATGGACAATAGAAATCAACTGTCAGGGGGAAACCATGATCTAGCACACTTGGTTTTAAATTTTCTGTTTAGTCCATCAGGTGACAATCTAAAGTGTCTTCTGTAAGATGCAAGGGGTCGGGGCAGCTAGGTGGCGCAGTGGATAGAACTTCGGCCTTGGAATCAGGAGGACCTGAGTTCAAATCCGGTCTCAGACCAGACACTCGACACTTACTAGCTGTGTGACCCTAGGCAAGTCACTTAACCCCAGTTGCCTCACTAAAAAAAAAAAATCTTCTCAAAAGATGCAAGGGGACACACAAAGTAAGTCTTCACAGAACAGTGATTCCCCACACTTCCACTGGCAGAAGGCAAAGGGTGCACTGTTGTCTCATAGAGAATGCTGATTGTGCTGTTCCCCATGGTGAGAGATCGGCTTATGTCAGTCACAAGCCAAGGACAAGGCACTTTGATACTTTTGTGTGCCCACCATCTCGTGGACATGGATAATTGGTCTCCCTGGCTTGGATTACAGCCCATTGCTGCCTCTGTGGTTCTTGTCCGTGGGCTTCCCTAACTCTTCTGTAGAGAATCTGTCTTTAGTATTTCATGCATAGAAGTGCAAACAGCCCTCGGATTGTCATCTTTTGTGTTTTGTGCTCACCTACCACCTTTCCACAGGAGAGGAATGAGTAAAAATCTTAGGAGGTAGTAACCTACCTAGTAGATAGGGGTAATATTTACAAAAAAGATGAGTTTTTAGTGTTGCTTTTTTTTGGGGGGGGAGGGTATGCTGTACTGTTAGAGCCAACTCATGGCTAGTTTTTTTTTTTAATCATGGCTAACTCTTTGCATAAGACCTTTATCATGGCACCTACAACTCAGAGTGGGAAATGGGTGAAAAGCTAATTAATGGGTCTGTCTCTTGCCAGTTCCTTGAGTCCTTTCAGATCTCAGGATTTCAGAGCTGGAAGAGAATTTAGAAGTCGTCTGGGGGGTCTCCTTGTTTTACAGATGAGAAAAAAGCCTAGAGAGTTTTCATGATTTTCCCAGCTTCACAATCTGGTTATTTAGCAATAAGGCCGGGACTTTAGTCCAGCTTTTCAGCTTTTTAGCCTGCTTCTAAACAAGCTATCCCTAGTAGATTCTCTTCTCAGAAGAATTTAAATGGAGTCGGTAGGAAGGAGAGTTGTGAAGCTGGAGTCCACAGGTGGTGTGGTTTCTTCCTGTCCTATTTTCTCTTTTTAGCATTTTGTTAAGTTTTAAACCCCATTTTTTGGTTTGTGGCTACTGGCACAGATCTGAAAATGCAATTTTCAGTTTTATTTATGCCTCCTTTGCTTGTTTATTTATCAATTAAAGGCTGTTCAAAAGTGCCAAGGAGCAGGTGGCATAGATGAGGAAGGGGCAGGGTTTGATTTTTATTTTTTAAAAGGACATTTGAAATGTAACAGTGTTTGAGGGACAGGATTTCTTGGGCTTTTGCAGACTCTTCTAAATCCTGTTTGAATTTGTCCAAACATTGCTGTGGAAAGATTGGATCTGAAGTATCCCTGAGAGGTCTCAGCTCCGTCTTCTTTCTAAGGGTTTTTCTTAGATGTCCTTACCAGGACATTACAACCTAGACCTTCTTTGTCACAGGGGAGACAAAGTTATTTGACAGCATGTACTCCCCAACTACTGAGTAGTCCAAACTGCAAATTCTGTTCTGGCTTCTAGTGTATAGCTAAATGAACTCTACCTTTCTCTCCTCTCTCTCCTTTCTCTCTTTCAGCTTGGCAGTGACCTTGGCGGGGGCATTGGAGGAAGTCCGGCAGTAAGTGCCATCAATTTTTTTCACAGTGGGAAAATAGTGTCCCTTCCTTACCCTGATTTGATATAATTTTTTTTGTCCCCTAATTCTCTCAAAGCAGCCATTGCTGCTGTCATACATTGTATGTGCAGACCAAGGTGGCAGTGTTAGAAGAATAGCAGAGTGAGAAAAGGTCATTTTGAGTTGTCAGGGTGGTGCCCCACTCTCTGTTAGGCCATATCCTCAGGGCTTGGAGTGTTGGTCTCTTCAGGAATTTCTCTGGCTTCCTGTCATTAATAGTTTAAAAGAAATTGAAACTCCTATCTTGGTTAGGAAGTGCTCTTATGCCCCGGTGTCATCTAGCATGAAATTGAGAGAGTGATCTGGACTCTGTAAGAGTGAGAGGTTCCTGAGAGAGTGTGTTTCAGAGAGAAAATACCCACCTTTCTGGGGGAGGGACCCCCTAAATGTTTATTCTTGGAATGAGAGAATGACTAAAGAGATGGCCTGACCCCAGTGGAAATGGAGCTGCTGCCCCTTCCTGTATGAGCAGTCCCTTCACCTCCCATTTTATGATGCCCAGAGGCCTTTTGCAAAGAATCATGGAAGCTAAAATTGGAAAGAAAAAAAAAAGAAGCCAACCTTGGGTACCTGTGTCCTCATTCTGTGCTTTTGTGCTCTCTCAAAAATAGCCTAGAGTGAATGTTCCTGTGAAAGTAAAGCCCTTTTGGACGACAAGGCTCATTTGGTGTTGGAGAGAGAGAGAGAGAGAGAGAGAGAGAGAGAGAGAGAGAGAGAGAGAGAGAGAGAGAGAGAGAGTGGATTAGTCTCCCCTAATTGCTGAGATTGCTTTGTTTCACTGAGTACTTCCTTATTGACTGTCAATTATACTCAAGTGCCTGTGATGTCCATTGGCCCTTGGTGATGCCTAGCTATGTTCAGTTTGCACTGTGAGCCTTTCCCCTTTCTTCGTGACTTAAATTGTTTTTTTCCCTGTAGGTGGGACAGTCCTTCATTCCATCTTCTGTGCCTGCAACTTTTGCCCCTTCACCTACTCCTGCTGTGGTTAGCAGTGGACTCAATGACCTCTTTGAACTCTCCACTGGGATAGGCCTGGCACCTGGAGGGTTTGTGGCTCCCAAAGCTGTAAGTCGAGAGGAACTCATGATGGGACCTTCTTGATGGATAGGGCTTGGGCTTCTTGTGATTTTGGTGTTAGACCTGACTTCTACTGTTTCTTAGACCTGAGACTTTTGTCCCCTTGTTCCAAGGGGCAGGAGGAGATAGCAGGGCCCAAACTCATCAACCAGAGACCACTATTATTCTCACCACGTTAGCTCCTATTTATAATTGGCCCATGGGGCTTAAAATCTTAAGGAGGCGAACTCTTTTCCTATACACATACTGTATCATTCAGTCTGTCAACCCTAAAGTCAGTCCAGGGGAAATCTAACAGTGTTTTGTCTTTTAAAAAATCTTTTGGTAAACTGTTTAGTAGAAGAAAAACATAATGTTTAACCAGGATAACATGCTATTCTCTGACTCTGAGAATCATCAGTTAGGAGAACTGAAAGGGCCCTTGTATTTCATCTGATACAACCCTTTTATTTGACTGATGAGAAAACTAAGAACCAGAGGGACCATGACTTGCCCAGGGCTGTGTGGATAGGTAGTGAAAGGTCCCAGACATTAACCCTGGACTGCTGACTTCCAATCTGATTACTGTTTTCACTACAGCGTCTTCTTCCCCTTAGTCTTATAATAGCGTTTGTAACATAGATGTATTTTTCCATTTTTTGTCATTTGCTATTAGTGTAAACCAGATTTATTTTTGAACATAAGGGAATATAAATTCAGTCAGGCCTACCAAGTAGAGAGTCTTTAAGGATTGACCTAGTTTTGGACTGTTGTCTGGGGCCCAGTTTAATTAACTTTGAAGAGACTCATCACCAGATGAGCACAGAATGATGGATTTTTATTTACCACAGTGACTCTTAAAAACTATGGTATAGTGAAATTGCTGTCAGAGTGGACAAGGGGAGTGTTCCCACTGGCAGAATTTACAGGTTCTTGAGGTAATGAAGCATAAATGTTTGTGGAATTAATAAGAATGTGAAAAATAAGTTCTTATTATTTTGGAGAGGCTTCTTTGGGGGTGACAGTCCCTTCAACATATAGGGGTGCATCACTAAGCCAGAGCTCCTAGTATGACCGGGCTTGACATACTTCATTGCCTTCTGGGAAACCATGCTATTTTATTTCTTATTGAATTGTTTGCTTATTTATCTAGTTCTTTACAAAGGATCTCAGGTTGTCCCATCCAGGAAATACATGTGTTGCACATGCAGTCTGCCCTGTTGATTGCTCTTTCTACAAAGTTGTTCTGCTATAATTTAGCTGAGAGCAGGCCGTCAAGTTGACCTTGGCTAAATGAGCCTTACCTAGGGTTTTGCCAAACTCTAAATAGAATTATAAAGCCTCCCTGAAAATATGATTTTGTCTTAGAAAGTTAGGACAGACCACCTGACACATGATCAATTTTAGACTCCGTTGTAGTTTTGGGCAGGATTGATGCAGTGTTTTAAATATAATAAAGCTCAACTATCTGATTGAAGATGGTGATGATAAAATCCTGAGAACCTTAATGTGGCATTTTAGCATTTACTTTCAATTACTACTAAATTTTGAACCAAAACTGTTAACACCTGTCAAGAGCTGCCTGAAGTTCTTCATCTTCCCTCATTTGTTCTCCTTACTAGAGGCACAAAAAAGCAGTGACCAGGTTGGTCAGGGGAGAGGGGACGGCTTGATCATCAGTCCCTGAATAATTAAGAATGAACTATGGTGGCTAATCAGAACAGCTGGCACTGCAGAGAGACTTTTGTTCTGCTCCTACAACGAACTTCCTGAGGGGACATTTTAGCTTTTTATTCTTTCCTGTGAAATCTGAATGATGGCACATTATCTCTCTAGGCATTGCCTCGTCCAAATGGCTTTTATGCTGCCTTTCAGGTTTGGCTTCCTGCAGTGAAAGCAAAAGGCCTGGAGATTTCAGGAACATTCACTCACCGGCAGGGCCACATCTACATGGACATGAACTTCACCAACAAAGCATTGCAGCACATGACAGATTTTGCTATTCAGTTTAACAAGAACAGGTGAGAAGCCTGAACCACTCAAGTTGACCTTGCGGCGGGTGTTTGCCTCATGCTCAAGCAGAGAATGGGCCATTAAATTGTGGGAAATCTCTCCTCTCGGTAGGCTCTGGATTCAGGACGAGGCCCCGGTCATCTTCAGCTCAGTAGCTAGCTATCCAGATATTGTATGTGATGGCTCTTCCATCATTTGGAATCATGAAACAAAAGCCCAGATACCTACTCCATGAGACAGCATTCTCTGACTAAAAATCCTGGAGAATGTGGACTTCTTATGTCTAAATGTTTTATTAATGCTCTTTTTTTACGTTGCTGTCATTTTCAGTGGATTCTCCTTTCCCTACCTTGTCATAAAACTCTCCCGTGTAACAGATTGACAAATTAGTTAGGCAAAACAAAGCAACGTATTGACCATGTCTAAAAATGCATACCTCATTCCCCTCCTGCAGTCCACCACCACTGCTGAAAGGCAAAAATGTGCTTCCCCTTTGGTCTTGTGATGTCGCGATTAAATTCTGCATCGATTACGTTCCAATGGCATTCATTGTTGCTTTCCTTTAGGTTACTGAGGTTGTTGTTTAAATTGTTTCTAATTACTTTGTTCTGTATCAGTTCATATAAGTCGTCTTTGGTTTTCCAAAAAATTCTTCTGTGAATATTTTTCTATACATGAGACCTTTCTCAGAGTGTGTTTTTTGTTGAAATGTGGTCACTTGGGTGTGAGAGTGGAGTGGTTGTTTGCCTTTCTTTGTACGCTCAGTGCTGTTGTTGTTGTTTGGTTGTTCCAAGTGTGTCTGACTCTGTGACCACACTTAGTGTTTGTTGATTGGTCTAAAATTGTCTTCAAAGAGTGAGCTTTTGTTGGTGACAGCAATAACAGTTGGCATAGATAGCACTTTACAGTGCTTCCCTGAATCCCGTAACTTGTTACTGAGGACACAAGACAGTGAACTACATATTATAGGCTGGCAGTAGACTTTTGGAATGACTTTTTTTTTGCCCTAGCTTCTTGCTAGGAAGGAAGAAGTTGAAGACCCAGGTCTAAGAGTTCTGAAGCACCAGTGGTCCCTGTTAAGTTTTCCTGGCTTACGGAATTGGCTGCAAGATCTCATAAAGAATACTTTTTTTTAAAAAAATCACCTTCATTTCCAAACGTTCCCTACCCCTTCATCCATGTAACAAGCCATCCTTTGTAATGAAGAATAAAAAAAGAAAGGGGGAGGAAATGTTCTAGCTTCTAGATTTCAATTGTGGGATCTTTTTTTTTTTTGTAATTGTGAAAGATTCAACTCTGCTTATAAAATAGGAGTAATTGACTCTTGAATCATAGATCTATTTGTGTTAGCTGAGAGGCTACATTTCTGAAATTCGGGCTTGTGTCATCAATCATTTTAATTCACTCTAAACCATTTGCATATGTTTTCACCTTCTGGAATATTTTTTGAATTGGCACATCAGCAACCATCAGTGCGTCTGGCCGGCTGGTACTTTGTTCTGCCCTGGCCAGGGAGCTGTCCAGGAAATTTCTCCTGAAGGTACAGTCTGTTTCAGAGCAGTAGTGTGTTGCAGGTGGAAGGCACGTGCTAATGAAAAAGACACAGCTCGATGGCTCAGGGCAAGTGTCCTCTGATTTCTGCTGCTTCTGAGGTTAGAATCACAGGACAGAGTGATAGCCTTTTGGCCTAGTGAGTCATCAGGGAGTGTTCCTCATCCCTGACTTAAAAATGCCTGTTTCAGTGTACTTGACAAGGAAAAATCCCTTGCCCAGTTGAAGGGTAGATTTTCTATGTAAATTACTTAGTTGTTTCACCTTAGTGAAGTATTTGCTTACTTGACCTCATTTCTAAAACTAAATAAAACACGAAAATGGTTAGGTCCCTAGGTGGCACAGCGTGCCTAGATTAGGAACACCTGAGTTCAAATCCATTCTTACATACTTATTAGCTCTGTGATCCTGGGCAAATTGCTTAACTAGATTTCCATGCCTCACTTTCCCCATCTGTACAACAGGCATAATAATAGCACCTTCCTTCCAGAGTTGTGAGGACAAAATGAGACAGTAATTTTAAACATTTTGCAGACTTTAACACTGTACGTAAGTGCTGTGGTGATGAAGTCTTAATTGGAGGAAATAGAAAACGTAATCAAATTGCCCATTTCGTTCTTTATGCCAGCTCTCCTGATCTGCTTTTGCAAAATCCTTTTTATTCATGGCTGTCCTTTAGGTGAAAGGATTGGGTCTTTGGTTTTGTCTTCTTTTTGTAAACATCATTTTTCTTTGTCAGTTTCTTGCCTTTTACACTGTCCTGTCTTCACCTAAGAAAACTAGCCGGATGGCATGTACTGCCTGTTACAGACCTGACTGACCAAATTTAGCCTCGGTTTCCTCTTAGTCATTTAGGATACACAAGCTCACCAACTCCATTTTGCTGAGAGTGACCCTTTCCCCTTGAGTCATTGGATAATCTTTGAACAAAAAGGAGTAAGATTTGCAAATGCATAATTCTGTCCTCTGGACGGGGCTGCAGTGGGGTCACTGTGACCCAGCAAAGTCACCCCTCTCTTGCTTTGCTTTGAAGGAGACGATCATTCTTCTCCCTCTGCCACAGATGACTTAGGAACCGTAGGGTGATAGATGGAGAGCAGGGCGGGACTTTGGATGGAAAGAAGCAGGAGTCTGAGGGGCTCAGAGAAACAGTGTTTGGTGAGTGGGGGACAGGAGCCCAGGCTCTTAGGTTTCCCGTGTTGACATAGCTAATGGGAGTCTAGGTCTACATCTGTAGGCTCCTGGCCCTGCCCCCATCATCCAAGAAGATGCTTATTGAACACAGCACCATTCAGAGCCCCAGAGATGCTGCTGCTTTTCAGTCCCCTCTGTTTCGTTTCTCTCCTAGCTTTGGTGTCATCCCTAGCACGCCGCTGGCCATTCATACTCCGCTGATGCCAAATCAGAGCATCGACGTGTCCCTTCCCCTCAACACCTTGGGGCCCGTTATGAAGATGGAACCTCTCAATAACCTACAGGTAAGAAAGCCTTCCTCCCCAGCAAGTAGGAGGCAGTAGTTGCCACGTCGATCTCGTCTCCTGGTCCTGTATGTGTCTGCCGTTGGCAGCGGAAGGTCCTCCCTGTGGCTGCTGTTAGACTAGATCCTGATACAGGCTTGGAAATAGTCCCGTGTGGAGTTGTGGTCTTTATCAAGTGCTTGGACAGCAGGGGCCATAGCTCTGGTTTGTGTCCTGGTTTCTCATTCTGATATTAGTGGAAGGAAATTAAGGCATAGAACGAGGGAATTACTGACTTCTTGGCATTGGAAGTGGGGGGTTCTTGTAACTGATTCTCATTTCACTTCATTCCCCTTCATGCTTTCTGTGTTCCAGGTGAGTTGGGCAACCATTGCCCAGTCTGGTTCTGTGTGTCTTGCCAGGTTGTATACTTTCTCCTCATCGTTACCTGTTGAAATGTTTATTTACTTAAACATTCGATATGTGATAGGTCCCCCTCCAGGAAGCCTTTCTGGCCTCCCCACTGTTCCCCTGAGCTGATGGTATTCTCTTCCTCCTCACACTCCCCTCTGTTGTGCTCTGCCTTGTGTCATCCATGTGATGTGATGAATCCTCTTGGGTCACTGTGAGGGCTTTGAGTAGAGGCTGGCATAGTTCTTCTACCATCTCCCATTTTTGTTTCCCTCAGAGCATTGACCATCAAATATTAAGCACTTAATAATTGAATGATTGCATTGAAACGAGTTGAGTCTGATAACCGTTAGAGCTGGTAGCAATGAGAGTTTGCAGCATTGACTCCCTGTATTAGCTGGTGTCACACAGCGCCCCGAGCAAGCCCTTAAGGGCTGACCGCTCTGAGGGCCCACCATGCAACCCAGTCTGAACCTTCTCATTCTCTCTCAGATCTGAAATGCAGTTTGCAAATCTGTGTACATTTACACAATTTTTAATCAAAGAATTTGCCTGCAAGTTTTTAGGTGTTTGATAGCTGGAGTTTTGCTAGGCCAGGCAGAGGAAAACTTGTGTGCTAATGATTTCTCTATCTGGCAAGTACTTTAGGCCAGGATAAGAACAGATTATATGAGATTTTCATGATTTAACAAAAGGATCTGGGTGGTGGTGGTGGTGGTAGGAGAAGTTTTTTGAGGATAAATTCTGGGGAAAGGCTCTGTCTTACTATGCAGATGAACAAGACACCGTACAGGACATTTTTTCCCAAATGGAAGGGATCTCTTCTCTAGGGATGGCAGAAGCCCTTGGTTTTCATGCCTGCTTCTTCCAGTGCAGGTTGCATTATGCAGCTGTTGAGATGTGTCTAGGAGTCTTGGACTGGGTATAGTGAAACCTGAGAGACCTTGCTGACTGAAGGAGAGTGTGGGTGCCCCACCCCCCCTTTGTGTCTAAGGAACATTTGTTCTATTTTTAATCTGATGTGGGACTTTTGGAGAAAATTAAAGGCCTCGCAAGCATAGTTCCCGGTTAAGTCTCAGTTTCCTTACCTAGGATCTGCTCTTCCTGTCCCCTGACCCAGCTTTAGACGTCTTCCCTTCCCTCCCTTCCCCCTCATATTGCATCTTTTCTCTTCATCTCTCCTCACCAACTCTCCACTTTTTAATCTTTGTCTGATCCAGGTTGAACATGTCTTAATTAAGACCTTAGTTTTCTACCTGCCTCCTGTAGAGAAAAGTTGTAAACAACTTGAGTTTAGTTTTCCATTGATTCCTAGATAGATCTTAAGTCAAGTCAAGAAGCATTTATTAGGCACTTAATATATGCCAGGGACTTTGCTCAGCCCTGGGAATACAGAGCAAGGCAAAAAACCAAATGCTCCCAGTCCCTGCTGTCAGTGAACATGCACTTTAATAGGGGACACAACATGCAGACAACTGTGTACAAACAAACTATACACAGAATAAGTTGGAGATATTCAATGGAGAGAAGGTGCCAGTGTTAAGAGAATCAGGAGAGGGTAGGATTTTATCTGGACCTTGAAGGAAATTAGGAGGGAGAGGATCTAGGCCTGGGAGACAGCCATGGCAGTGCCCAGAGTCAGGAGGTGGTGTTTTTTGATCAAGGGACAACAAGGAGGTCAGTGTCCCTGACTTACAGAATACACGGTGTGTATAGGGGAGGGCAGATGGGATGGGAGTGGGGAGAGGCTGTAAACGGCTTTGAATGGCAGAGGATTTTCTATTTGATCCTGGAAGTGATAGGGAGAACTGGAGGGTATTGAGCAGGTAGGGTGGCGTGATTAGACTTACACTTAGGAAGGACGCTTTGGCAGCTGAGTGGAGGATGATCTGGCACGGGATAGTACCTGAGTTAGGGAGATAGATTGGTAGGCAGTTGGAGTACTCTGGGCTTGCAGCGATGGGGGCCTGCACCTGAGTGATGGGAGGTCAGAGGAGAGAAGGGGACATCAGCAGGCCTTGGCAACAGCTTGGATATAAGAGGTGAGAGAGGGTGAGGAATCCAGGGTGACTCTTGGGTAGTGAGCATGAGGGATTGCGAGGGTGGTGATCCCCTCAACAGCAATAGGAGAGTTAAGTAGAAGAGTTACATGACGAGGTCATTGCTGACTGCTGGGAGTTAAGAAGAGAGAAGGAATAAAGAAAGGAGAGGCACAGATTGTAGACATCCTTCTCCATGGACAAATACAGAAATGAGAAGACACAAGCAGTCTTTGCATCTGTGCATATTGGTACCTGGGATCTCTGTGCCCTTCCAGATCTTTCTCCCTCTCTCTGTCTCCATGTCTCTCTATTAACTGCCTTCTCCTTTGTCGGTTTTTCTCTGTCTCTGCTTCTGTCACTGTGGTTTGTCTCCCTTGATTTCTGACTGTCTCCATCCTGTCTCTGTTTATCACTTCCTCCATGTGCCCATGTTTTCCCAACTCTACCTCACCTTCCCTCAGATTACTTTCTGTTTGTTCATAGACAAAAAGGCATTGATGTGGATTAATGGAAATTAATCCATAGATAAACATCCGTAAATATCTCTTTCTCCTTTGTATTCTTTTCCTGTCTCATCTTTTCTTTTCCTTCAGGGGTCCAGGGGGAGTGGGAAGGAGTTCCCTCCATACCTGCCCTCATTGCTAAGAACTTGCTGTGGAGGCACTGGCCTCTTGGCCTGTTTTCACAGTAGTCTGGAGATGACAGACTGTGTGGGAGCACTGAGTGGTGGCAGTGAACAGGAAGTAACCAGGGAGCCTGCCTGGGACCAAGAAGTAGTCCTAAAGAGTTTGCATGAACATAAGTTCCTGCCTCTCCAATCTCCGTGCCTCTAGGGGCCCATAACCCTTGCCCTCTCAACTCCTCCTAAACCGGCCCTGCTGCCTGCCCTAGCTCAGGTGTTAAGCAGTGACTCGGATGGAGCTAAGTTCCTGCCTGTATTGCTCTCTGGGAGGAGGTGGTAGCCAATTCTCCCTGTAGGAGAGGGGCATAAAATTCTGTCTTCTGAAGTTGAAATTCATTTTCCCACAAAAAACCAAGGTTGCACATGGTGGCTTAGATCTTTTAAGTACGTTAGTAGGCTTAAAATATTTTATGGGTTAAATTGGCATTGTTGTAATAGGAAAATATATTCCCAATTTTCAAACAATTTAAAATTACTTTCTGAGCATCATCTTGTATAAGTTGGGTGCTGGATTATAACTGTTTTCTGTAGTGATTTATATGAATCTGGCATATGGATAAAATTGATTGGTTGCCTGTTTTGTAGGCCATAGGACTGTGTTACTAAGAGCACAGACTTTGGGTCGGATGGCCTGAGCTCTAGGCCTAGGTTTTACCACTAACTAACTTGTTGTGCTATGTGACTTGGAACAAGTCCTGTATTCTCTCAGGGCCTCTATATCCTCATCTGTAAACCGTGGATAAATAGCAGCTCTGCCCTTTCAGAATTGTTGAGAGGATGGGATGAGATAATGGATGTGAAAACTAAGATGCTACGTGATGGTGGGTCAGGCAGTGATATTACTCTTATACTACACTCTGTGCGAAGTCCAGTGACTTGGAGCTGTGCTCTTGGCCATAATTTCCACAACCCCGTACATGCTCTGTCTCACAGTGATGATCAGAAAGTTTCACATCCTGCAGAATGATGTTTTGACTTCAGTGTGAGTGATCAGAAGCACCCAAACTCTCTGCTACAGGGGCTCCTCATTGCCACCTGCCCTCGAGCAGTGGGATGCAGAGCAAGTTAGCCTGAGTGTATGTGTGGCTCTCAAGGTTCTCTGGAAGTCAGGAGTTTTTATGAACTTCGAGGTGCCAAGTGGCATACTTTCAGCTTTCACTTGCCCTGAAGGAAGGACTCTGCTCAGTTGCCAACACAGTGCGGCAGTGAGAAATTGGGTACCAGCTTCTCGTGGGAGCCACTGTCTTTCCAGATGATTGAGGATGCCATCTGAAGACACCAAGAATGAAGTGTTTATAAGAGCTGCCATAGTGGCATTATTTGGAGAGAAACAGTGATTTCCATACCCACTCACGAGGCCTGTTTGCCCCTTCACCAGTGACCTCGTTGCCACAGCAGTTGGCTGTCTCTTCTTAGCCAAGGGAGCGATCATTTTGAGTTAAGAAAGTGTGAGTCATGATAGTAGTTTGGCTCAGGCTGGGAAAGAAAACACAACTATTACTGGGCAGCCAGAATTGGCTGTTACTATGATGAGAGCAATTTCTTAGGAGGGCCTTCAGCGCAGGGTCCTAAAGGAATCCTCCAGTTCACATCTGCTCCATCCTCTGGAAATCTTAACCACACACTAGCCTGCATCTAGGAGTAGTCCACAAGCATGCACTGTGTGTTATCTCAGAGACGAGAAGAGAAAGCGAGGCCAAAGAGAGCAGGACAGATTCAAGAGACAAGTTATGGACAAGTGCCTTAGGAGCTTACTTGTCTTTAAAAAACAATAACAAAAAGCAAATGACTGATGCCTTTTGTATTTTCTATTATATTTATTTCTGATATTATCTCTCTCTCTCTCTCTCTCTCTCTCTCTGTCCACCTCCCTAGTGAACCATTTC